ATTAATTATATCGCAACATCTAATAACGAAGTTCCTCTTAAAGCCCCATAGGTTGCATGCATGCATGCATGCATGCATGCACGCATGCATTATATATATGCATTAATAACTTTATGTATGCATGCATGCATGTATGCATGCATGCATGTATGCATGCATTATATATATGCATTAATAAGTTAATGTATGCATGCATGAATTATATATAAGCATTAATAAGTTCATGCATGCATTCATGCATGCATGCATTATATAGAGGCATTAATAAGTTTATGTATGCATGCATGCATTATACCTGCATGCATGCGTGCATGCATGCATGCATTATACCTGCATGCATGCATGCATGCATGCATGCATGCATGCATGCATTGAAGCATTAATAGGTTTATGTATGCATGCATGCATTCATGCATGCATTAATAATTGCATGCATATATGCATGCATTATATATATGCATTAATTAATAAGCTCATGCATTCATGCAGTATACAGGCATGCATGCGTGCGTGTCTGCATACATTCATGCAGTATATAGGCATGCATGCATGCATGCATGCATGCATTACTAATTGCACATGCATCTATGCACGCATGCATTACTAATTGCATATGCATCTATGCATGCATGCATTACTAATTGCATATGCATCTATGCATGCATTATCTGTGTATTAATAAGTCCGTGCATGCATGCATGCATTATATACATGCATGCATGCAGTATATATGCATGCATTATATATATGCATGCATGCAGTATACATGCATGCATATAATGCATGCATGCCTGCATGCGTGCATGCACGCATGCATGCATAATGGGGCTGTTGTAGATTACAGCGCAGCAAAAAAGATTTTTGTGCTTCTCTTCCTTTTTATGTTTTGTTTAATAAAAACTTTATATTATACACCACACATCTAATTATATTACTCATAAATAATGCATGCATGCATGCATGCGTGCATGCATGCATCCGTGTCTTGTTTTTTTCTCCCTTCAAGCCCCAATAAACCCTAGCAGCACCGAACGTAAACCCTAGCAGAAACAAACCTAAACCCTAGCAGGAACGACTAAACCCTCGTAAGAGACAATAAACCCTAAAGGCAACACGTAAACCTTAGCAGCAACACGTAAACCCTAGCAGCAACACGTAAACCCTAGCTGACAGACCCTATACCTAACAGACACAAACCCTAAACCCTAGCAGACACAAACCCTAAACCCTAGCAGACACAAACCCTAAACCCTAGCAGACACAAACCCTAAACCCTAGCAGACACAAACCCTAAACCCTAATAAAAGAAAATAAAAGTTATGACGATGCCTTTACAGTGCTTTGCTGTATTCATTAAAAACAAAGACACCTGTAGCACGCATGCATGCATGCATGCATGCATGCATGTATATATGCATGCATGCATGCATGCACACAAATGCATGCATGCAGCGGTTAGCTGTTCACGCACGCATGCATGCAGAGGTAGCGATGCATGCATGCATGCTTGTGCATGCATGCATGCATGCATGTATGCATGCATGCATGCATGCATGCATGTATGTTACGGTGTGTATATAGAAGATCCCTCCAAGACATATTCAAATATATGCCTTATATATATATAAATAAAATATATAAAATAAATATTATATATAAATTATATATGTGCATAATAATAATAATAATAATAATAATAATATATAATATATACATTTATATACTTGCCTACATATATCATGCATGCATGCATGCATGCATGCAAATTGTGCGCCTGCAAGAGAAGTAAAAAAGCCCCAAGCAACGTAATTGCATATATACATATACATATATATAAATAAAAAAAGATAAAAAGAATAAAAAGAATAAAAAGAATTATTTGTATATAATAAAAGTATATAAATAGATATAAATATATACATATATACATATACATATAAATATTTATATATATTTATTTATCTACGTAAGTATATACATATATAAATAACAACAAGGTGTATAGGCAGGTCCTTATTAACAATCAATAGATATATTATTATTATTTATTTCTTTTTTTTTCTTTTTTTTCTTTTTTTATTTGTGTCTTAATAATACCTTTTCTTAACATAACTTGTAATACAAAAAGAAGAAAAGCAGTAAAAAATCCAAGCCCCAAATGTACAAGACACATTGCATGCGGTCCGTGTTGCAGTGCATGCATGCGCATGGGGCTGGTTAATAAGGATACACAACCAGCTAAACAAAAAGTTATACCTATTAATTTTGTGTTATTTGCTGCAGTAAAGAAAGAAGCACCATAACAATATAATTGCGAACTCATAAAGGATACCTATAAACAAACAAACACACAGCAGCAGCAGCAGCAGCAGCAGCAGCAGCAGCAAGAGTTAGAGTAACAGCAAGAAGAGTGAGAGCAGCAACAGCAACAGCAACAGCAGCAGCAACAGTAATAGTAGCTGTAAGAGAAGCAGCAAGACAAAGAGAAGCAATAGCAGCAACAGCAGCAGAATCAGCACGAGCAGCAAACACCATCAGGACCAACAGCAACAGCAGCAACAGCAGCAACAGCAGCAGGAGCAGGAAGACGAATAACTTACTTGTAATGCACTACATACAGCAGCAAGATGTTGCATAATAACAGGAATAAGATGATGATAATGTGCTGCATGCATCTGCAGCAGCAGCAGCAAGTATAAAAGAAGACCGCATGCATTAAGTAATTGCATAAGAAATAATATACCAAAAAAATCAGCAAAAAGCCCCATAAAAGGGCATAAAAAAAAAGAGAAAACAAGAAGGAATTCATTTATTTTGCATGCATAAGGTATTAATCGTAAAGAAAAAGAAATATAATAAATAATATTAATAATTATATTAATAAAACATATACTACCTAATATATAATATATACTACATATTTCTCTTAATACACTTATTTTCTTCTCCTCTACTCCTCCTCCTGCTGTTTCTGCTGCTGCTGTTGCTGCTGCTGTTGCTGCTGCTGCTGCTGCTGCTGCTGTTTGTGCTGCTGCTGCTGCTGATGCTGCTGCTGCTGATGATGATGATGATGATGGGGATTCTTCTTCTTCGTTTGTTTTATCCATTTGTAATTCTATATGACTTAATTCTTGTTGCTGCTGTTGCTGCTGCTGTTGCTCCTGCTGCTGCTGCTGCTGTGGGTCTGTGTGGTCCTCTTGTTGCTGTTGCTGTTGCTGTTGCTGTTGCTGCTGTATTTCTTCGTCTGCTTCTTGTATTTGTTTAATGTATTTTTGTGGTAATAATTCTTCTGCTGTATGTTGCTGCTGCAGATCTAGATCTTGCTGCTGCTGCTGCTGCTGCTTCTTCTGCTGCTGTTGCTGCTTCCATGGACTAATGAAGAATGTTTTCTTGAATTTCTTTTTTTGCTGCTGCATCTGCTGCTGCTGTATATCCTCCAGTTGCAGCAACTGCTGCTGCTGCTCCTGCTGCTGCTGCTGCTGCTGCTGCAGTTGTGATGGATATCTATAGGGTTTACTAGGTATAACAAGAAGAGCAAGAAGAAAACAACCACCAAGAACAGCAGCAGCAAAGAAAGCAACAGCAGCACGAAAGGATAGGAGCTGCTGCTGCAGCACAGCAGCACGAAATAATATAGGTATTAATAAGGATAAACTACGGCATGCACCCAAGACACCAAGAGCAGCAGATCCCCTAGTAGGGAAGAGAGCAGCAGCAGACAGCAGGGGATAGAAGCAGCACTCGCTGCTGCTGCCTAAGAATACAGCAGCAGCAACAAGACTATCTGGTGTATTAGGACCATTAGGTAATAATAATAATAACCATCCTGCTGCTGCTATTGCTGTTGCTGCTGCTGCTGCTGTCTTAGGTCCTAATATATCTACAGCAAATCCTGCTGCAGCAGCAAACGCGAACTCGCTGCAGCTCATTAAGGAAAAAAGACGACCAACTGCTGCTTCTTGTTCCTTGCATATAGGTCTATATTCTTTCTTCCCTCCTTCTCCTCCTCCTCCTCCTGCTGCTTCTGCTGTTTCTGCTGCTGCTGTTGTATCCTCCTCCTCTTGTTGCTGGTGTTCATGCTGCTGCTGCTGCTGCTGACTATCACCAGCAGCAGCAGCAGCAGCAGCAGCAGCAGCAGCAGCAGCACATTTCCATTCATAGGCACCAGCAGCATATAATAATTCAGACATAGGGCCCCAATTAAAATAAGCAGCACCTGTTAAGAAAGAATATATACAATATAGCAGCAGCAGCACGTAACGGGATAGGCCTAGAGGGAGCTGCAGCAGCAGCAGCAGCAGCAGCAACAGCAGAAGCAACAGCAGCAACACAGGCAGCAACAGCAGCAGCAAGAGCAGCAGGAGCAGCAGAAGCAGAAACATACACAGCAGCACAAACACACATAGCAATAAAAGATATGATTTGCAGGGATAACAACATACACCTTCTTGCTGCTGCTGCTGCTGCTGTTGCTGCCCATGCTGCTGCTCTTGCTGCTGCTCTTGCTGCTGCTGCTGCTGCTGCTAACAGACTACAGTTCGGCTTATTGTGCTTCCCAGGAGCATAGACACGTAAAACCCTAAACCCTAAACATTAAACCCTAGCTTACCTTTTGCTTCTGCTGGGAGGTGGGCGGTTGGAGGTCCGCCGGGCAAATAGCTGTGGGCTCCATTTCTCTGCTGCTGCTGCTGCTGCTGTTGTTGTTGCTTCTGCTGCAATTTCCGCTGCTCTTGCTGCTGTTGCTGCTGTCGGTGGTGGTACTCATGCTGCTGCTGCGGGTGACGCGGCAACTGTTGCACCTGCGGCTTTGGCGGTCGTTGCTGCCGTTGTTGCTGCGGCGCTTGCTGCTGCTGCTACTGTTTGCGCTGCTGTTTTTGTTATTTCTGCTGCTGCTGCTGCTGTTGCTGCTCTTTAGCAGCAAGAAAAAAAAAAGACGACAAAAAAGGTTACTTAGAGGGAGCCAGGGGGGCTTAGGCTCCTATGGGGGCAAAGGTCTAAAA